TCTTCACCTTGATACGAATGACTATCCAAACTAGAGTACACGCATTACAGAATTCACGAGGTGACACTATACTGATTTATTATAGTGTATAAACTTGCAGTTGACACCCCCACCCCCAATATTTATGAAGGTGGGCGTGCCTATATCTTTACTGAATGCAAACGAGGTTCATAAGATTACAGATGTGCATGCATGTATAAACATCACAGAGAGGGGCGTGACTCCATAAAGCAAGATGTCCAATGATATAACAGCGCATCTATTTATTTTACACTTGTCACGGGACAAACCTTTCAACAAGGACGTAACTACATATGCACTCTACCGGAGGCTGTTATTTCAAGGTCGAAAGAGGCGTTCAATTATCTCATTACTGTAATCTGCTTGAATGATTATACGCATGTGTATCGATACCGTAACTGATATACTATCCAGCTTTTATTGACGATGGATCAATAGAGACTGAGTTGATTGATACACGTGATAATTGCACCGGATTTGATAATTACACAGATCAAATACAAACGTTTTACAGAATGCTCATGTAAATTGCACAGAACTGACAATTCAAATCAACATGAAACTTTCAACAGCTTGAACAAAAAATGCTTGAAATACCTTTGTATGGCTTACATGTAATAACTTATGATATTACTTCTGTCCATGTGTGGGGCGGTGGGGTAGCCTAGTGGTTAAAGCGTTGGCTCGTCACGCCGAGGATCCGGGTTCGATTCCCCACATGGGCACAATTTGTTAAGCCCATTTCTGGTGTCCCCCGCCGTGATATTGCTGGAATATTGCTAAAAGCGGCGTAAAACTAAACTCAGTCAGTCTGTCCATGTGTGACATTGTTTTGATTTACCAACTTACTGTCTTTTGTAACAAACGTAGTAAAAGATTTCATTGTTGTAATAACACTGACATGTATATATGTATTCGATGCAAAGGCGCGACTTATCACTTTATATTCGCTTAGGTAACGTTACGAACTTTAGATTATGGAAAACAACTAGTTACAATTCAGTAAACTTCAAATTAGTAAGTTCAATTATGTTTAATCTATTCGATCTTGGATGTATAATTACTGTGTTTATACATTATGTTTCAGTATATGAAACATGACAACGTAATGATGCCTAAAAAGTAAATTCAAACTATTCTATTGTGTTTGAATTCTTTGTATGTCCTTGAAATTTCGTATATTGTAGTTGAAGGAAATAACCTCTAAACCATTACATCAAGGTGCATACGAAGTATTTTAGTATCCATTCCCAAGGAAGAGTACCAGGCACTTACCTCTGTAAAAACATCATAATCCCCTTTCTCGCCGACATGCGTTCATTTGCTAAACGCTGTACAAGCCTATGATAATGATTAGCAATTGTTATCAAAACACTTTAAAAAACTTCTTCTGATTGATGCTAAAAGTGGGATCTCTCGTAAGAAGAGCTAACATTTGCTCAGTACTGCTAAATTGGTTGAAATAATAGGTACAGTGCGATTTTTAAAAGTACAACACACATGTGCGTCTCTCGCTGAATAAGAGGTGCTTTCTGTTGACGACTGTATGTGGCTCTCGCTGTGAGAAACTGCTAATTACCTGCCCCATAAACACGTCACTCGCTGTGAGGAGCTGATTAATTTGCCCCATATATGCGTCTCTCGGCCTTAATGAGTTAATGTATAGTACCCGTGCAGGTGCGGGTTAGAATGAACCCTCAGTAACCCATGCTTGTCGTCAGAGGCGACTAACGGGATCGGGTGGTGAGGCTCGCTGGCATGATTGACACATCTCATCATCATATCCTCATTGGGTAGATCGATGCTCATGCTGTTGATCACTGGATTGTCTGGTCCAGACTCGATTATTTACAGACCATATAGCTGGAATATTACTGAGTGCAAGATAAAACTAAACTCACTCACTCACTTAATGCATTGCTGGAAGATTGACATAGACAACTGTTCGTTGTACAAATCTTTGTTTTACAACTGATAAATAATCCTCCCTATGTCACTGAATACATTTAAGCTACAATACAATTCTTAACACCAGGAGGTCCTAAGCTCTTCATACCTCACACAATACAGTGTGACCTTTAAACAACGGAAGCTGACCGTTTGTGACACTTCACCACGCTGAAGATTATCAACAACCATGTACACATGATTACAGTCTGACCTTTAAATTGCAATAAAACAAATTCTGGTCAACTTGAACCTGCTAACTTTGCGAGCACAGGAAGCCACACACAGGAAGCTAAGCGCATCAACCCTCCAAGGTCCGCACCAACTGTCACCTACTTGGACATATCTGTACACGCATAAGCATAAGTGATACAAATGACAGCATTAAATATTTAAAAATGGTGGTCAGTTTTAATGACTGGATGGAGGTGCTTTTAACAAACATAACACCTTACACTATTTCATCCAATCACAGCTGTCACATGTCTCTTCAGTTACGGCTCAGTGAGCAAGCGATTCTGCTGTTAGTACTGACAGCAGTGCATAGACTGCGTCCCCTATTCACGCATATACGGACCCGAATGAAATTTAACAGCTACAACCGTTTATTGTTGACAGATATCGAAACATTAAGACTTGTTCCTTGTGTGACAGCGTATTTTAAACTGGCTAGTGAATTAACAAATTGTGCTGTGATATTTTGACCTTATAAATAGCAGCTAAATCCCCCTCATTGTGTGATATTAATTCTACCTTGAACACGTATGCTTAGTCTGTCTCACTGTCCCTGAACCACATTATTTTCCCTACTGCCACATGCCCTCTCTGCAGTGCTAAAGCCCTAAATAAAGCAAGTCTAGATTTCCTCAGGTTCTGAATCTCTGGTGTCCTTAGGGCTCCTTTTCAATTTAAACGGGCTTGTTTGTTATTATCAAAATTATATTCAGAGACTAAGCATTAGTCTAAGGTTTGCAGTGTGAACACTCGAATCGGCAAACTCATAAAATAATGCCACTAAGGTGAACCTGAAGGTCACACACACACCGGAAGGGGACTCCCAAAGGAGGGTGGGGTTCAACAATCGATTAGGTCACACAAAGGTCACACCTATGTGTGATTAAAAAGAAAATGGCCGTCTTTTTGGGCCTCAACCCCTCCCCTTACAACAATCAATACTGAAAGAAATAAAAGACAGGGTTGTGTATGCCACGAAGGATGTGTGAAGGACGAGTTATGTACCACTTTCTCTTAATATGCCCAACTTATGGCCAGGTACGTGAACATTATATACCCACAAAGTATTACTTATATCCTTCTTAATCTAAGTTTATTAGCCTTATGTCAAGCAACGATTGTACCCTACTTAAGAATCTTGCAATGTATATTAGTATTTATACCATGCAATGTCAGTCCGTAGAACATATCTGGAGTTGAACACTGAATGTTGATAGTGTTATTACCCCTGAAAATCGTACAGTGGGACCTTATCGCGAACACCTTCTATCATTACAATTCGATGGTGATTTATAAACATATTTACCATACAGTTGGTAACAACTTATTCGTTTATCTATGAGTCCTTGATGATTCTTATGATTATGGGTCTTATCTCCATGGCTTTATGTCGCGATATTTCCTTGCGTAAAGTCTTTACCAGATAGCATACACTTAACACAAAAGTCTACACTGTGAGGTGTAAGAAATAGAATCACACCCGAGTGTCTTTTCATGTCAAATACACTAAGCGCCAAAAGAAACGTTACCCTCCTACTTTTATGAATTTCTTAAAAATTATCAAAGATATGATAGAAGGTATTAGTTTACAAGAAAGCTTAACAACATAGCTTTATGCAAATCACGAAAACAAATTCTCAAATGCATTCATATTTAGGTGAAATGTATCTTTCCCAGAAGAGTTAAATTGTCCTATTTTCGTCCATGCCTAAATAAACCAATAACAGTGATTTAGATGTCCAATAGAAAGGTTCAAATAAGATTCTGCTTTGAGACAAAGATAAACCATTTAAAGTTACCATTTTTTAACTATCAAAACAGGAAACAACTGTCGTATAGTTTGTAAAATTGTAAAATAATCATTCCCATGATTTCATTCTTTTAAAACATTTTCTACTGAGTTGCATAAGGGAAAACAAATAAAACGTGTCTTTGATATTGTGAAAAACATGTTTAGGAACATCTAAAATTATCTTTGTTAACATTTTCGCTTGCAAAGTAACATGTTTCCATTTTCTGTTTACACATAGCAATATCAATCGCCAAAACGCAGTAATATTCAAGCAGTATTTGCTTCCATTTCACATGTGGAATGATTCTGTAGGGTATAAAGAGAGTGTATAATGCATGATATGATACACAAGTACGAGAAATATGCCACGATTAACAGCTGTAGAGAGAGAAAGTGCCATTGTAATGGTGCAAATGCGGTCGACATACAATGCTGTTGCCAACGCCCTCGGCTGCCACCGAATCACTGTTAGAAGGATGATTCAGGGCTTCAGGCAGACTGGGGTCACCGTAGACAGACCCAGAAGTCGACGCCCACGCATCACAATGCCAGCTGAAGATAGGTACCTTCGTCATTAACGAAGGAGGGTAACGTTTCTTTTGGCGTTCAGTGTATATAACCACGAGTTGATAAAGTTACAAATATCCGAGGCTTGCCTCAGTGAGTGAGTGTTTTGACAAGATGCAGTAAAAATGTAAAATGTTTTAATACTTTCCATCTTTATGTGACAGGCAGTGTGTTCAAAGTATTTCTATAAGCCAAAAGTCAAATTCTATTGTGCATCCATTGATTTTAGAAAGGCTTTTGATCATTTTGACAGGAAAAATGCTATAGTTACTCTTACAAAAAAGGATGTCATGGTAAAATTTACAATCTGTTAAAAATGTATATGTATGGATCTTTAAAGGCAGGTATAAGGTTAGTTGCTGCACCACTCGTGGGGTAGGACAAGGGTACGTTTTGAGCTCTGTCCTGTCTATACTCTTTATTAATGAGCCTGTGCTAGAAATGTATGCTGCCTGTGACCATGGTGTATTTGTTACCCAAAATATAGAAGATCAGATGTTACCTTTATTTGCCAATAACATTGAGCTTTAATCGTATACTGTTCGGGGCTTGCAGGGACAGCTAGATGTTTTACAGACATATTATTCGAAATGGGGATTGCGTGTAAATCGTGATAAAACAAACGTTACTGTCTTTAGAAATGAAGGAATAATATTTCAGTATGAATCATAGACACTGGATAATGTGCAGATAAAGTCGGTAACTTACTAGAAATATCTTGGAATTGTGTTTACCTCACGGTTAATATGGTCTAAAGCATGTCAAACCCTCGTCATGAAAGCACGTAAGGACATGGGACCAGTCTTTAATTTGTTCAAAAATAATAGTTTAATAGATTTCTTAACTGCATACAGCATATGTGATAGTAAAATCGCTCCAGTAGTAATGTATGAGTCGGATATATGGGGTACTAAATATCATGTCACAATTGAAAAGATACAAGCATGCTATTTTAAAGGTTTTCTATGTGTGGGTAATCTCGCAGCAAACCAATGTATTCTGGGTGAAACTGGATTTCACTGTGTGTTTAAAAAGACGCAAAAAAGGGTAATTAAGTACTGGATTAAGCTTTTGTGAGTGAATGAAATTCGATACCCCTTCCAAAGTTATGTTATACTTAAAGTTTTAAATGAGAATGGTAAGGTCAATTGGGAATCTTATGTGAGAAAAATATTATTTAATAGCAGTTTTGCATAATATGTTTTGACTGCATTTAGAAGACGTCTAAGAGAATATAAAATCTCCTTTATTATATATAACTGTATCACGAGACAAACAATAAGCTAGAGCAATGTGTAAATTTCGAATATCACTCCACAGCTTTCGAGTCAACATTATCCAAAAAAGGTCATTGTTAAATATACGTCATACAGAATCTTTTTGTAAACACTGTGACCTTCATTTGGTAGAAGATGAATACCATGCCTTTTTTATAGGTATGAAATATACACACTTGAGAAACAGTTGTTTTTTTACCTCGTTACAGAAATCTGATAATGGTAGTGTTATGTTCGAAACTTTATTTAACTCATGTGATAATAATGTTCTACGCACAATAACCTTATATCTATGCAAGGTATTCAAAATGAGATCGACATTGATGATGTAACACTCTGAATATGTGGACCTGGCCTGAATTACGAAATATGCTACTTGATTGATTAGGGATTGTTTAATCATGCCCATCATGTCAGTGACTAAGTTATTTGCTCAATTTTGGTTATTAATAGTTGTAACCGTTGAATATACGCGACCGTACATGTTGTTATTGTTGCCCACATGGTGTTAACATCAAGAAATAAAACCATGCTCACATGGTGTAGTTACATAGCTGTACAGTATGAACTGACGCGTCATAAATAAAACCATTCACTGTAGTCACATATACATGAACTGACCCAACTGAAACCAGCACAAACTGTTTCTGGCTACTTCGACAATAATTATTATGAATCTACACCTATAATTGTTTCACAGTTTTTTGTCTGTATAGCAGATCATTTTTATCCACAAAGCAGATCATAAACGTATATGTATGCTCTCACAGAAAGAGATATCTTACCACGTTGAGCCATCTTGTAGCTTGAGTTGGCTTTACACGTAGCACATAACACGACATACGAGGAAACGTATCGCGCTTCTTGGTAATGAGGATATCAATTGTCAGGTATGGCTGACTGGGTGGTGTAATAAAGGGAGGCAATCCATGTCTTTTGATTTCAATACTGACACAGTCGTGCGGCACATGCTGTACTCACGAGTATTCAAGGGAAGAGGGGTTGTCAACACAGTATCTTCTCGTGGAAGGATATGGACATGATACTAGTGTACGTGATTTACGCCTGACTGGTTCCGCATTCAAGGGCCATGATGGGCTCTGTTAGCTTGAACTGGTAATGTAAAAATAATTCTCTCTCATCCACTTAAATCTGCGTTTGTGTGTATTCCTTTTTTCAAATTGCATAATTGCAATGTACTTGTATTTTAACATGCGTACAGGCGGGACAGCTGTGTACGTTCTTTTCATCAGTTAGAAACGTCATCACAAGTTAAACAATCACAGCATTGGTCTCACATTCGTTGCTACACGTGTGGCCTTGTAATGCACTCAGATTTAAGCTGGTCGGCAAAAGGAACACGTCTCTTCTGAATAACTAGATAAAACGACAGTTTCTTTCCAAATGTTACATTCGGGGCGGTGGTGTAGTCCAGTGGGCAAAGTGTTTGCTCGTTCGATTACCTATATGGGTGCAATGTGTGAAACCTATTTCTGGTATCCCCCGCCGTGAATGTTGCTAAAGCGGCGTAAAACCACTCACGTACTGTATGTTACATTCGGCCATAACACATTACCACCATCCATGTACAAGAATTGTGTATTAATCTTGATCACCACAAACGTTTTGTAACCGTGAAGGTCCGGGTTAGAATTGGCCTTCAGTATCCTATGCTTGTGGTAAGAGGTGATTAACGGGATCGGGTGGTGAGGCACGCTGACTTGGTTGACACAAGTCATCGATTCCCCATTGCGCAGATCGATGCTCATGCTGTTGATCACTGGATTGGCTGGTCCAGACTCAATTATTTACAGACCGCCGACATATAGCTGGAATATTGCTGGGTGCGGCGTAAAACTAAATTCACTCAATCACGTTCATTTTTAATCATAGGCTACATAGATCTGCATTCATGTCACTGTAACTGTGGGATATTTCACCACCATCTTTATGTGAAGTGTTAATTGTTTGATCAGTATTATAGAACTTCTAGGTGAGTCAATAACGCTTTATTATGTATCGTGTCGATAAACAGCAATGAGAGTTCTGGACCACGCCTTAGAAGCAGTATATCGAGTAATCCGTGTATCTAAGCAAGCTAAAACTCCGGAGTTGTTTGAGTTTCGACCTGAAATGCCATTAAACTTTACAATTTTTCACAATCTGATACAACACCTACAGGAGAAACAGTGACAACTCACTGAGTAGGTACATTGCTATTTCTTTCATGATACTCTCTGATCATATTGAGGTGAGAGCTATGTCTTGTACAACTTAGCAGTCAGTATCACATACGCTCATGTCGATTTCAAATGGAACGTGGTATCTAGCATGCAATGGTTACCCAAGGGTTGCCCACAAATACTAAAACTTTATGGCCAGGACTGAAATAAAACTCATTCTCAGATTCAGATATCCTTTTCCCGCAAAGATCTGGGTTAGAATTGTTCTTAAGCAACCCATGCTTGTCCTAAGAGGCGACTAACGGGATCGGGAGGTCAGGCTTGTTGACTTTGTTGACACATGTCATCCTAATTGTTTAGATCGATGCTCTTGCTGTTGATCACTGGATTGTCTGGTGAAGACACGATTATTTACATATAGCAGGAATATTGCCGAGCGCGGCGTTAAACAACAAACCAACCTCTTATCTCTTTATTTTCCCTTCTCCTTTTCAGCTTTTAAGTATATTTCCAATGCTGTATCTCTAATTTCCTTTTTCATAGATACCTTTTCTCATTAATATTCAAATTTTTACCAACATTTGTTTTCTTCAATCAAAGAAAAGCAGCATCGGTTCTCAAACTTTCCATGTAAGGCCTAGACTGGGTATCCAGGGTGATATTATGAGTTTCACACAACCGCTCATCTTTATGTAATGAGAGATGACTACAATTATCCTTACTTTAAACAAAGTCTGTTGTGTATTTCTACTTCTTTTAAGTCGAATAGTTTGTGCGCTTTAGAAGAGAGGGGAATCAGTTATATTACATAGAATATTTAGGAAACCTCTGTCAAAAAGCAGTGACGATAGCACGGTGTCACTATATCAGGAGCAAGTGTTTAGATGGCAGCCGTCATAGACATGCAAAGACATTCAGTCTTCAAAATAGGAACTTGTTTTGTAACAGTTACTGCAATGGCATTAATCGTATCTTTGTCCCGTCATAATTTATGTCTGGGGCTGGGGGATGTGGTGATGATGATTTTAATGGGGGTCACCCATCTTGTTTGGGGAGATAGAGAGGATCATCAATTTTGTACACATGTACTAGGCCGGATCAGCAATCGGAAATCGGTTATCAAACAAAAAATTAATAAGTGGAAATGTCGTAAATTAACATCTGTATTCTCAAATGAATAGATTTGTTTCAGGTTGATTTTGGAAAACTGCACAACACAGGGAGCTCACAATCATGCGCAGGCTTAAAGTGTTTAATGAACACACAAAATGATGAATTTGGGTACGATGGGAGTTTTGTACATAGGGAAGAGTCAAAATCTCATGTTTCCCGAGTGCTTGTCTAATCATAATGTGTAATCTCTACTCTGCTCTCTCCTGAGTGTACCATTCCACTTCCATCTTTAAACAGAAGACGTTTAGTAACGCAAAGATGTTGTCCTAGACACTTGAACACCCGTGTATGTCTATCAAAGCTGTGCAAACGAACCATGGACTGGTACGACAACAGTATGCTGTATCAGTCATGTGTTCGGAGCCTCAAACGATGTCTGCACCACGCAAGGCGTGACTGACACATGGACACATCGCTGGATGTTGGGTCCTCATGTTGTGCCCCCTCAACCGGCTGCCTACAGTTTTGCCACAAATTGATCTCAACCAAGGAATAGATGGAGCAACTAACGTATCAGCGTCTTAAATTAGTTGATAATATTGTGTTATGCAGAAATGTGAGCTAGGAAGGTTATATACATGTGGATAATGGATGTTTATACAAGTTTAGTTGATGTTTACAGATAAGGTTGAAGAATGAATCCTGATTTATCCACATATACAAAACCAGGGGATGAGCAAGGAATAATGAGTATAACAGCACAGTGATTAAAATGGATAGATTGATTGATCACGGCGAGAAGTTTTAAGATGGGTATCTATACTATGAACAGTGTATGTGTGATTAAGATTGATATTTTACTTATGAGCAAATTGTAGGCAGTTGGGGTGGAATAATAACCTTGATCTTTGTGGATAGTTGGACAGTTAGTTGATATGGATGTCTTCAGTAGGTTTCCTGATCTTTTATGTGGCTGAATTTGTGGAAGGTACGTTGATGACAAGTACGTCAGTCAGTTTTTATACTTCAACCTGTATCTATTGTTTAAACATCAATATAACAATATCTAACACTGTATAAACATCACTTATGAGCATGTTATCATTGAAGGGATACTAAGCATTGAATGTTATCGTATATGACAAAAGAACTGTTTTATATTCTGTAAACCAGATACCCGAAAATGGGCTACACTGGCGACAATTGAATAATCGCATTTTTGGTGGGAATTCCATGTGTTAGAGACTTCTTCAAGACAAACAATCGCAGGTGGAGCTACGTTATTTACTTCAGGAATTTCAGCATTGCTAGTCTGAGACAACAATTGATTTGCTTGCTTGTGGGACTTGTGTACACAAATCAAATCCTAGCCATCTTATCGGAAATTGTTCTAGCAGCATGGTTGTTTTGTTTTGTTTTTGGTTGCATAACCGTGATGTTATACTAAATATTCATTTTCTGTAGTACTAGCGTTAAAAGCCTAAACACGATATTAATTTGTTTTTTGCTGATATGAAAGCTAAACACTTATAATCACGTAATAACATATAATATTATTATATAACCGCCTCAACTGTTTCATATTTAGATCTATTCGTAAATATTCAGAGTGACAAAAAAACTCTCCACAAGGCTGTATGACAAAAGGGGTGATTTCAACATTCCAATAGTCAGCTTCCCTTTCATGTCGAGCAATATTCCTACAGCTCCAGCCTATGGTGTTTACATTTCACAACTGTTGAGGTACAATCGAGCATGCTCTTGTTATCAGGATTTCAAAGAGCGCCATGGCACTCTTGACAGGAGTTGTTTGTTCATAGATGCACCATTCAAGGCTCCAGTAGGGCTTTCAAGAAGTTTTATAGTAGACATGTGGAAGAAATGTCCAAATTTGATGAATAAGTGACAAAAATCATGTACAATCGACTCTGCTTTTGGCGGAAATTTCTTATGTATGTGGAAAGGGTTTTGTCGCTTCTATTAATACTCACTTCTGCAACTGACTTATATTCCTGAATTTGTGTGAGTGTACTTATTCATCAAATGAATACACCAAGTACCAAGTATCATTTCTTCTGATTTCTAAGCACAAAGACCGGTTCAGGAATGATTTTCACGAATATGAGTAGGTCTTTTGAATATTTTACTAATAATATTGGTAATTTCCCACTCTAAATACTTGTTTTAATATGTTTGTAATAAATGATTGAAACACACAATTACTTTGAACTGTATATCTCTTTTAAAGTGACAAAACACTCGCTACATAAGAAACATGGATTATCGGTTGGCAATGATGCCAGGTGTTCGCGAAATCGTGACTGTCTGCATGAGGTTAGTCCTGTCTGACGGTATCGCTGCATGAGTCTGGTGACGGTGACAGCCAAGCGTTCTTGCAACGTGGATGTGAGAGGCTCCCATTTCGATCATTCCGATAGCCCGTTCTCGTTGTCGCAAAATTAATCGAGCCATCCTTTTGGTGTTTTTCAAAATAAAATAACAACCCAATTGCATTGGATTTATACCCGTTTGGCATTTAATTTTTTCGCTTTTCGTGAAAAACATACCAACCATATTTGGACAAAATGGTGAAAAGCATGTATTGCATGTCTTATTTCCAAGTGGAAAACTCATTGTTGCGTTTGGGCGATGTGTTTTCATGTGATGGTGATTGCAGCTGAATTTGACATTTTTGGTAAGTTCAAATTTAAAGTGGTAACGTTTCGTTAGCCCTTCAGTTTACATTAAATTTACAAAATGAAATGATTATGATCATATCACTTTCAGATGTAAATTGTTAATAGTTTAACAAAATGAAAACATTGTCGGTGATACACTGAAGTGTTACTGAGGTCAAATGTAGTAGTTTCACAACACAGAATTATTGTTTATAGCGTTGTAGTTAACAGCTTTCATAGTGTATTCCCTCTGTATTTGTTGGGGGTAAACATTTGCCTTTCATGAATTTAAGCCACTACCTGACACTGATGCACAATGCGATC